GTTTCTTCAGAACCTCACCAACTTACAAAAGTGATTTGCCACATGTTGCAACAATCTGGATCGTATATCCCACCCCTCCAATCCTCAAAGCAACTCTCAGGTAAGCTACTGTGTTTATAGGTTTACTGACCAGAGTTTGGAAACACATTCTTTGCTTAAATGACCATTATATACTGCTCTCTCACCCTGGTATGGGATCATCTGTATGTTCAAAAATCCTTAACATGTATGCAAATTAGGAATAGTCTGGTGCCTGGCTTTGTTTTAATCAGTGTTTGTTTTTGTGTGCGGTGTCGGGGCAAGGGCGGATCCAGAACACAATTTTTTGGGGGCCCAAAAAAAATTTGATACCTTAAAAAGTGTGTCCAAACAAATTACGGCGTTTTTTTTTTCTAGATGCTCTGTGGTGCGATCCGAGGCGATTTCTGACCACTTAAACCAATGTTTTTTTTAAGGAAAAGATGGTGGTGTACCCATTGCCTGCCTTTATTGCGACGTCACTTAAAATAAAAAATATTGGGTTCGTGTTTTTTTTTTTGGGGGGGGGGGGTGGGGGCATGGCCCCCTTTGGCCCCCTGGATCCGCCCTTGTGTCGGGGATAAAAACAGAAATACTTCATCCCAGCGTGAGATCCATAAACACGATTTTCTTCGAAGTTAAAATGTTACAATCATATCCAGCCAATATGCAGTATCACATTAGCCTTCATTAGCAAATGGCTGCTTCCGATAGAAGAAAAGGTGGTTGAATATTATTTGTTGAATTATTCGCACGGCTCAAGATTCTATGGGTTTTGGGAGAGGGTTTGCAACTAGCCCTTAGAACACTTCAAGTCTTCTACGCTTACCAGATAAAGTTTCATTATTTCAAACACTACACCATGTCGTTGACACTTTACAATGGCCTTGTAATAATATACGTCATGGCGCTCTGCGTTGGGAATTTACCAGCTCTGGAACAAACCCCTTGATAATCCTCAAGTGCCTACAATGTGATTTATATTTTTTAGGGAATGAAAAAAAATTAACCAGATTGGATCAAATGATATTCCATGACTCAAGCCCCATCGCTGACATGTGGGTTGGCCGCAAGTGCTCACTCGGTATGTGCTTGGGATTGCTTCAAGCTTTTTTAAAGGAAAAAAGAAAAGCAAGCCTAAGTAAAGCTGATACCAAAATAATCGTCACAAAGCAGCAGTTGCAGCGCGAGTCTTAGCTTCTCCAGACCACTGTAGGCTAAGTGACAATTGACAGTCAGTCCGTGATTTACGTAGCCAGTCTAATTCTTTGAACTCGTTCTATTCTCCCACGTTAGACCACCCTTCTCCTAATTTGTCGTCCAATAATTTACGAAGACGTATTTCCCCCCTTTTTTCTGGGCTATATCAAGGGCGGATCCAGAACACAATTTTTTTGAGGGGGGCGGGGGGGGGCAACAAAAACTTTGGCGGCCAAAAACATTTTGGGTCCCCCAAAAAGTGGGTCCAAAAAATACGGCGTGGGGTTCGGGGCTCGCTTAAGGGCCCCGAATTTTTGTTTTGATTCTAGATGCTCTGTGGTGCGATCTGAGGCAATTGCTGACCACTTTAACCATTTTTTTGAGGAAAAGATGGTGGTGTACTCATTGCCTGCCTTTGTTGCGACGTCTTATAAAAAAATTAAAAAATGGTTTCGTTTTTTTTTGGGGGGGGGGGGCATGGCCCCCCCCTGGATCCGCCCTTGGGCTTTATATTATGATGTAATCATTATTTACATGATTTTCTTTATAGTTTTCTGAAGGTTACTATGCGAACTTGAAGCGACTTTGAGAACGACTATACTTGATATCTGAGGAAAAGGTGAGTGCACGAAACTTTTAGGGTATAATGGTAGCCATTTTGGATTTTTCATGTCATCATAAATATCCAATCGCTTATAAGCTTCAGAAAGTGTTAAGTAAGGATAATAATGTAAGTAGAATCCCCAAAATATACTTTTCCAAAAAAATGTACAAAAACATGGTAACAAACATATAACATGGTGGCTATTCACGATTTATGCAAGTTAGACACCCTTCCCAAAAGAATTTCAGGCGTCACCCCTTCTAAATATCTTCTCTAGGGCTTTTAGAATCCATCTGCCAGGTTTGGTGCTTTGGACCAGTCGGTCACGATTCCACCCATAAGCCACCAGACTAAAAGGGGCAAAAAAGAAGAAGACACTAGCCTGGCCCCCTGGGACCAAAAAACAAAAGACCAGAGAATTTTTTTTGGGATTTTCCAAGTCGTTTAATGGACAAATATAAGATCACAATTTGCAAGCCTTTGAAAATTCCACTTGATATAATAAGGTATAAAATTCCAAAGGTAACCGTGATTTTCTTTATTTGAGACGATTTGTAATGCAATGCTGTGAAAAGTTAGAGTAAAACGCTCAAAATAAAAACAAATTAAAACTACTACAAGATTAACTTGGCTAATTACATACGTCATTTGTTTTTCGTTGCCGGATGACATTTGGAGTCTTGTTTTTTTTCTCTCCAACTCTCGCGAGTATTGTAAATTCTCGTATAAATGCACAAGTCAAATTAGCTTCACGAAGGATTCGTCGAAAGGATTTTTTGTCACCACTAGACATAACGTCATCTTTTTTTTTACACATGGGCAGTTTTGTACTTTTGAACCCTATTCAGCCGAAAAGGTTCGTAAAAACGATGGAAATAACCACCATATTACTGAAGCGAAATAATGTCTCATTCTTCAAGTAAACCGTACCGGTGCCATTAAACACAAGGAACAAAATATCACCGTGCTACTGAAGTATAACATATAAAAAAAAAATGACAATTACATATGGGAGCAAATACGACAGAGCTGCAAGCGTAGGAATTTGTTTAAGCAATCTGCAATGTAAATTGCATGTGTCTGATAAATGTGTTTGCTTTTGATGACCTTTTCTACGAAGCTTTTGGGCGGTCGACAAAGTTGCAAGGAAGCAAGCAACATCAATGCCCTCGACTGTTGTATATGAGCTTGAGAGAAATTGCAAAATATAATAACACCAGCTGATACGCGTAACAGCTTTTTTTTAAATTTTGCGTGTGGTATCACACGCTTATGTTGATATTGAGTGAAATGGGGAATGCCGCAAAAGAAATCAGATTTCGAATTTTCTTTCGTTTTCTGTTCAGAACTTTTCATGAGCATTCAATAGAAACATCTAAGTAAAAAAGAATTGTCAAATAATGACAATAATTATTTTAGGGGGGGGGGGGGTCTTTCTGAACGAAAATAGAGGGCGCTCTTAGCGAATAGCCAGTGACGTCATTGGAAGACCATTGTAGATCAAGTAGGGTTAACTTGAAAATGGGTATATATACGAACAGAAAACGACAATAAAATAACTCAATGTTCTGACATTGCGTTCACAAAATAACTGCATAAATTACTACAATTCACTAAAAATAAAGGAAATTAAATTAAATTAAAACTTGAGACTTAAAACTGAATAACACTGTTGAATCAATCAATAAAATTAAACTACAAATATTATTTGTATTTTTTTAAAATATAAATTCTAACAAATAAATAGTGTTTGTCCAAGGTTTTGTTTCTTAACAATTACAGGACTAAGTCAACATGTGGGTTTCAAATCACCAATTTTGATCAGAAAAATATTCAGATTTCCACAATGTTGTCCCAAGGAAGTGACCTTTAACCAAATCAGGAAAAAAAAATTGTTCAATTACTATTACACTTAAATGTTTAATCAGGCAAACATACATTCATATATAGGTATATATTAAAAGAACCAGATTACAATATACATAAGTATTATGATAAACACAAAAATGCATAAAACCAACTATATACCTTTATTTTAATGCAACTAAAAAATGGCCTTGCATTTGGAATTCAAAATGCACGTTGTCATGGAAACAAAATCTGGCAAAATTCAAATACTGAATCTTGGGAGTTTAAGACGCAAGTCAGAGGTCAAATTAATCAAGACTTTCTGAGAAGTTGCCGAAATTCCTTCTTCGGAAACTGCATGGTTTTAATACCTCATCATCATGAATCTGATAAATTATAAGCAAGTGAAGGATCAGATTAGCATTGAATCCTTTTTATAAGAGTTGAGTTATAATGAAAAAGGTGGACACCAAAAGTGGCCTCAGATCTGTAGTAATGTTGAATAAACTAAAGGCCACATTGGAGTTGCGGCTACAAAATTAGGTGGCTGCAACTCGACTGTTGCTGGCCTGGGATATCCAAAATGTCCACAGCTGATGTAAACTATCCGTTTTTGAAAATACACATTTTTCTTAATTTTGTCCAATTGTAAAAATGTTAACAATCACAAACAGTTCATTAAAGAAACTCAATCACTTCTGTACTTATGATCAGTACCTGGAAATATTACCCTCAAAAGGCTCATGAACACTGAATTCTTTTTAAAAAACCAGATTAATTTTTTTTAAAATTGAGATCCAACTGATTTTTTTGTTTGTTTCAGGATTTTTCACATTCCACATGATATCTTTATACAAAATTCACAGAGAAAATGTCCAAGACAAAACGGAAAAAATTCAGCCCTGTGACCAAGAAAACCTCACTCAGTATAAAAAAATAAACAAAGTTAGAAAAATTGTCCGTGTATGTCTCATTTCTTTACTTTACAATTCCTGATTCCAAAGTTGTTTTCAAATATTCTGAAAAACTATATTATATTTTTTTATCCAGGCACATTTTCAATGAGCTGCTGAAGGGACCATACAGGCCTGGTTACCGGCCAAACTCGCTGGTACTTGCCAGTTGATTTCGGCTAGTACTGTAGTAGCTACAATCCCGGCCAAAATGGTTGGGACACTTACTAAGCCTGCCACGGTCACCCACTCCCCCGCTCCCCTGGTCAATGTTGTGTTCTCCAGCTGATGGAGCACACACCGCGCAATGAGAGACAACATAGAGTGGGGGGCAGGGGGTTGGGGGCCCAACGAGATTTGGCCAGGATTGTAGCTTGTTTTTTTTTTCCCAAGAATGTTTTTGCCCGCTGACCAAACTTGTTGCAGACAATGTAAAATGTATGGAGTAAATATCTTGTCGACATGATAACCCACTGACTGATGGTCTGTTCCATGTTGCTGGGCAACCTGTGGGTGTTGCTTAGCAACAGGTTTTGTTCAGCAGCTCATTGAGATTGACCTTTTCCAAGATTTATTTACAAGTAGTAACTCAGTGCCGAGTCACTGTTTTCAAGGCTTGTGAAGAAAACATCCACCAGGTTACGGCTCAGGTTATTGTGCCGCTGGCACGATACAGCAAAAAGCCCTAGCCATATGCAACAATGCCCACTTCCGACGTGGCCGGACTAATACCTCCGGAGGAAAGAGGGGTGTACTTTGTTAAATCTACATGCTTTCAGGTTATTGCAATGAAGTTATTAACATTGTGTTAAAGCTAACACAGTGGGAACACAAAACATCATTTCTGCTTGCAATACTTGATATTAATATACATGTACATTAACTTGGGAGCAAAAGGGGATGATTGGACCATCGCAAGACCATCACAAGACCATCGCAAGACCATCACAAGACCAACCCAAGACCTCCAGTCTCAATTCAAGTCACAAGCTGTTCAAATGAACTGCAACAATGGCATTCCTTTGTTATTGTTTGTCCCCTGATACTTGCAGGTGCTCTTGTGAATGGTCTTGTGCTGGTCGACTTCAACACTGGTTTGTACAATAAAGTATTCGTTATGGGCTCCGTGCACAAGGATAGTTGGGGTGACCTAGACTGGTTCCCGATCCATCCACTGTGTATTTTGTATGTATCCAAAGTCATTGGAGGCGGGGATTAGTTTCGGAGACCATCACAAGTTGAATTCGAACGTATTCGTGCGCCGACGACGCCTGACGCTCACGCGAGGACACGGTGGCTATAGCTTTTGCACATTCAGGAAGTCGTGCATACTTCGCGCACGAACCACAGTACAGTACGCGCACGCTGTGTGTCCTGTCCAAAGAGCTCTCAAAAGAGGTAAAAATGCACCCTCTTTTGTTGGCGCACGGAGCCCCTAGTGGCATTCTTCTGTACTTTGTCATGGTTTCATGATCTTTTACTTAAGAGTTGCACAAGGCACTTCTTTCCCAGGATTCCATAATGCATTTGGGAGAATTTCTCTTGAGTCTCTGGCCAAAACAAATTCAAACACAAGGTTTGAAATGTAGGGACCAAACTTTGTTCTTACAAGCTCTAAGAGTTGCTTTTTCTGGCAGATGACACATACTTCACATTAAAATTCCAGGTATCACCTTACCAAGGCATGGTAACTAAATCCCCGCCACTTAGTGAGAAGGTTGTTTGGCAGAAATGTTTGTGCCAGGGGAGACTAAAAGAAGACATCAACCCTGGAAACAAGGTTGTGAAAGGGCAACTCCCAAAACGCAGATCATTCCAGCCTGAAGGGCAATATCAAAACTTCACTGTCATTTCCCGTCAACACAAAATAACAGATTTTCATGTTTCTAGTAGGCCATTCAAATTTTTGTTTTAGAATGGCACCTGATTTGCATGCTTGAGAATGCCCATTGGGTGCGTCGCTGGAGCGAACTAAACTGTGTACAGTACTACTTAATAGCATGGCTGAGAAAAAATTGCCATCGAATTTAAGTCCACATCCAACGAATATGTTGTGGTACTTGTACATGGTACATAAATATATCATGGCGAAGTCAGTGTGATAATTGTGGTGTAACCATTCTAGCTTTTGGCAGAAATGGTTCCACAGGAGGGAAAGGAGGTACAAGTATTTTCCTTTTCAGAGTTAACCGTTTGCCGATGTCAACAACACTTTGAACTCGGAAAGTCAACTGTGCAGATTATGTGTACTTAACTGCTGAATCTGTACCATTGTGCTGGTGAACGATTACAGTTCGTACTGGAAGATCTTTGAACATCCGTTGTTACGGATCTTTTGCTTCTGGACGAGGCTCGCGCTTTATCCACACCTCCTCGGAGAGGTCAGAGTTCAAGGATCGCTTCTTACTAAGGCTGGAGTCGCTCTCTACTTTGACCAGGTTCCTCTCTGGAACCAAGGCACGGTCAGGCGTCAGCAGGTGAGTCCGCTGAGAGCGTTCCGATTTGAAGTGACTGAAAGCACCTGGGGAGCGTAGCTCCAACATGGGCTGAGAGTGACCGCCGGATCCCGAGGGTCCCGTGTCGAAGAAATAATCTCGGAACCTACGCATGGATTCTTCCTTGACTGGATCCTCGGCTGTCGGGGGGAACTGGAAGACAGTGCCGATGGAACTGGACTTCTGGGTAGGAGTGCAAGGGAGGGATCGCGAAGAGGGTTTGTTTTCCAGGGTGATCTTGGGGGACTTGGGTTCCACTTCCTGGTAAGAAGGTGGCCGGGAGTTGTCCCGGTTCCACTTCCGTTTGACCCGAAGCTTGATGGGAATGCACTTCTCTTTATCTTTCCGTTCTGTGTCCTCCTTCTCCATTTGAGTTGGGCTTCTCTGCTGCCCCTCTGTGCTTTCCGCCTTGTTACTTTCTGTGTCCATTCTTGTCCTATCTGGGGATGGCCTTGGAGACCGCATCGCTGCATATCTCCTATCCGGGGATGGTTTCCGTGGTGATGAATGCTGCCATGGGCGCACAGGCTCGGGTGCTTTCATGGTGTTGTTGTCATTATCCGGTGGGGAAGTGATGGTAGAGGGTGTTTTGATCTCCGGTGGAGATGAGAGTGTGGAGGGTTTCTGATTGGCTGCGGCTGCCTGGGCTTGCCTGCGCTCGTTCATTCTTCTCAGGTACAGCTCGGATTGGAGTGGCCGATCTGGAATGCGGACCACGTTCTCGTGATGCTGCTGCGGTTGGGGTTCTTGCTGGGCTAAATTCAGCACCCCAATCCGGACCTCGTTCTCAGTGTGAGTTCTCCAAATTGTTCCGGGGGATTGGGACATGGCAAACGGCCGGGGCAGGGTCTGGGGCAGGGTCTGGGCCCTGAGCTTGGTGACGCGGTCGTGCTCAAGTCTGGACTGTGCCTCCTGGTGGGCACGAATCTCAGCCTGGGAGTAAGTGAATCTCGGACAGGGTGCTGTGAAGATCGGGCTCAAGGCAGATGCTGGGCTTGGCATCGGGGAGAGATAACAGGGACTCGCTGGCAACGAGTGGGAGTAAAACGTGGGACGCAGGGTTACGTAACCTGGCGAGAAGGGAGGTGGTCTGGCATCGATGGGGACCACTGGGGGCTGCATGTCACTCCGCATCCCTGGCTGGCTGATACCCAGTGGCTCCGCATCTCCAAGGCTGTGAGACCGCTGCCGAACAGGAGGAGGCCGCTTCATCCCCTCCAAAGATTCCTGCGAGTCGCTTGAGGACTCACTCATAGTGCGGACTCCTTGCCGCTCCTTAGACTTCAAGTTATCATCAATGAGGATGACGTCATCAGGGGAGTTGGCATTGTTGGCGGGAGCCGACTGCGGAGGCACGTATTGTGGGATGTACTTCATGTCAGTTCCGGGGTAGTTCACCAAGATCAACTTGCTGAAGTTGAACTTGTATGTGAAGCGCTTTCCTTTTGTTTTGTTGAGGATCCTCTTGTTATAGTAATACCTAAAAAAGAATGAAACAAAATGTACTCCAAACTTTGAACATCCAACATAATATATTTTTTTGCCATCTACTCATTAAAATGGGGGGAAAACACAGGAGCAAAATTTTATAAAATAGGGAATACCAAGAAAAATTCTTAACCACTATAGGTGATATAGGGTAAACGTACCGTATGGCTTAAATTTTGACATTACTTTCGTGTTTTTGTATCTTCCAAGTCAAATTCCTAACTTGAGAGTTCTTTTCATAAACCTAGATGAAGAAGACTGTGTATACATGCGTATAAACTACACCAGAAAGGACTTCAAGAGGCTCCAATCCCAGACAATTTAAAATTACACGTTTGACGGCTTTCAGCCAAATACTTTCCCATCAATAACCTAATAGCATTCTAATCAAAAATGAACAAAGAAGTTTTGGCATTTCGACCTGCAACCTCCAAAAAAGCTCTCAGAGCCGTCAAGCCCTATGTTGGTGGTCTCCCAAAATTGTCGATGGCTTTGTTCATTGGCGCTAGTCAGAAAGTATGGTCCACAATTAGATTTGAAATGGTTCAGTTGAAGTCTGAATCTACATCAAAGCCATCCATGGACTTAAAATACCCAGAGTGCAACATAGAGATAGGTTCACTTGAGAAAGGGTTTGACGCTAGTCAGAATCTTTATCAGTTCAATAATTTTGAAATGATACAAGTTCAGTGTAAGGTAAGTATGACTCTACGTCCAAGCCACACCATGCACTTCACAGAAGCTACATTATTTGATAGTTTAGAGAGCTAGTTAGCTCCACTAGATTGAGGAGAGGGGTGAATCCACGGCGAATCAAATCACTCACCTGAGTGCTCTGCTGAGCTTGTCGTAGTTCATGTGCGGCTTGCACTTGCGGACCCCCCAGACCCTAGCCAGCTCATCTGGGTCCTTAATTAGGAACTCTCCGTAGTCGCCCTGCCAGGCGATGACGTCGCGGAACTCCTCCTTCTGCAGGAGCTCCAGGATGAAATGCCAGAGCTGAATCTGGCGGGAGCCCGGGCTGCTCTCCGGTTTGTAGGCCCAGTCAGGAAACGCCATCCCACCTGCAAATTCCAAATCATCAGTGTTAGGGGACGTCTCAATGTCGGAACGTTCCCTATCCATATAAGAACGTTCCTTTTAGGAACAGTGTGTTCTGTTCTGCTCTGTATCCAGCGTGTTTCCAACTGGAACAGGCCATTCCCATTAGAGTATATGCACACGCACAGACGTTCCCACGCGGGAACACCTAGCGTTCCTGGACTGTTCCCAGTGGGAACGACGCATGTGACCAATTGGGACAAGCGATGTTGCCTGGTGGAACGTTCCAAGCATTCCGACCTTTGAGACATTCCCTTATCGTTGGCCGCAACAAAAAGTGACGTATCATGGGTAGGTACGGCACCACAAAGTGACAAATCATGGATAGTTGCCTCACCACAAAGTAACAGATCATTTGCACGAAAGTCCGTGGAAATGTAGCAACATCTTAAAAAGTCATTTCATTTAATACATGAGAAGAGTTGCGGGCAGCTTTATCCACAACAGTCGTACTGTGTTTTTGGGTATAAGTTGCAAAATTCTGAGCAAATTCCATGGAATATTCCTTAGCATTGTTTGCACACTGTAAACTTCATTTTGGTAAGATTACACGTAATGTTGTTCGAAATCATGTAACTAAATACTTGATACAACTGGCCTACTGCAGAAAAACTGGTCAGCAATTTATCCTGGATATACTACATGCAGTGAGGTTTGCGATATAAACACCATGTGGAATAATCTCTTTTGAGAAGAAATGTGGTTCTGAAAAGAACTGGTTGGTTGTGAAACTCAACGTTCCATTCAGTATGCTCTGATCGTCTTCAGGAGAGCTAAAGGAAAGCTTGTCTTCAGGAGAGCTACATGTAAGAAATGTTGAGAGATGAACCCTTACCGTTACCTGCATTGTAGACTGGAGTAGCAGGACTAGGGATGTTGGCGCTTGGAGAAGGCTCTGCCTGCTGGTGTACGGGCGTGGTAGGCGGGTCTAGACAACGGTAGTGCATCATTTTAGGCCCACGCTGTACCCGACACGGCATCCAGGGCTGTGAGCGCTGGGATGACGAAGAAAACTGCAAAACACACAAAAAAGCAAAAATAAATTCAGCTTGAATTTACTTGATTTATCACAACATCCCAATGAACTTATAAAAATGGAGGAAGTTTCTCTTGGGGCACCTGATAAAGCACCCTCTGCAAGTATCATTAAGTTTTTAAATTCCAATTTAATGGAATGATATTTGAGGCTTTGCATAGTGGACCTTCGGGAGCATTGCTGACTGAGCTTGATGCTCAAAGGGATTGTTGCCCTACAGAATAATATTAGCAGGCATGCAACTAGTAAGTCACAATAAAAAGAGGAAATTTAAATCTTTCCAAGACTTTGTACAGAGTTTGTCTATTTTCAATGACACACATGGGAGGTCAAAAAAGAGGAAATCAGCTGATCCGAGAAAAAGTTGCATGCCTGTATTAGTTGTGCTTACTTCGCGCAATAATTGCATGAACCAGCATGAACGTATAAATACTGCCTTATGGGGTACCAGAACAATGGGAGATACCCCACAAGGAATGCCCACCGACTTCCAGGGTACCGTTTTGGTACCCCACAAGTTTTTCACGAAACAGATATATGGATTGTACTCAAAAACTAGGAATTTCCAAGGTGGGTTGATCCGTCACAAATGGAAGAGTTTTAGAAAAGGGATATTAAGTCCAAATTTCAGCCCAGGAAATTAATTCTGGTTAAAATAAGAGCATTTTGAAATAAGTGTGCGACGTTGCAAAATTTTAGTACACGAAGACAAAGGAAGTACCCCACTTCTATGCCTGTGTAAGAGTGACACATGGGTGTCAACCCCCCCCCCCCCAAGCTTGGGCTCTTTATAGTGGTCCAAAAGTGTCATCTTGTGTTAATGCGTCCATATAAAAACAAGCTATACAACAATGTTGTATTTTGGGTAAGGAAAGAAGAAAAAAAAGGATTCCTTAAGTAAAAGCTCAAAGCTCTGAGTCTCAAAAGGCTCTGTTGAAACCTGTTAAAAGAATACAATATAATCCAAACTTTTATACAAAAATCATATCCAAATTTGTTTAATAATCTACACTGAATTTGGATTATTTTCCTTGCAAATTTGACACAAGGTTTTCCAAATGTTGTCTCCTACAACCCCCAAATAAAAAATAAAAAAATAAACCAAAAAACTTTTGTTAAAAAAGACAGATGGACTTTTCTTGTTATATTATTTATGTTTCCTGTTCATTGATTAGGCCAGGTAAAAACAAAAAACAATTCTTGTCGGAGCATTTTGAACATAAAAAGAAGGAAGAGCCCTTCCCCGCCCCTCTCCAAGACGGTGATTTTCATAAAGAGTGTTCGGATTCCTCAATTCCTCGACTTTTTTTCTACTCCATTTTGAGCTTGCATACAAAGCAACAAGGTTGATTGAAACAAATGAAAGCCAAAATATATTGCAAATGTATGATCATTAAAGAAGAAGAAAAAAAAGGAGGCATGCGGGAAAAGGGAAGTTGTGGGGACGGAAAACTGTTTTTTTTATTGACCTCACTGGCTGTTAAAAAATTCAATTCATTCAACAGTCCAATGCAAACCCAATATCCAGGGGCTGCAATGTGCAAAACACCGCGTGCTTGGACGCCAAGAGATGTGTATCTGATCACAACAAATGATGTAATGTGTTTCTGATCACAACAAATGATGTAAGGCAACATTTGAATGGTTTGAAACTCTCAGATTTCCCACATAAGTTTTCTCACAGAGAATTAGAAAGGGAAGAACTAAACTTCCATATTGCATAAGTGTGGGAAAGTGTATATGAATTTACAAGCTTTGCTTTTTCAAGCTTTCATTTTCCAAGCTTTCATGTTTGTGACGATGCCTTGCCTACGGCAATAACCACACATCAACTACACATTGTGAAATGACAGGGAACAAAAAGTATTAACCCCAAAGCCTGAACAATTAATAAATACTAAGGAGTGATGCAGCCTAAGAGGGGAGATACAAAACAGAAATTTAAACCAGAATGCTTCTTTAAATTAAAAACAAATTCCACATTCTTTGGGTTATTTCTGGAACCACATTAAAGGGAATATACAACATTTGCAAACATAAAAAAATAAAACTACCAAGTTATTACGAAATGCCTTACTAGGATGTTGGTAAATGACAGTCTAAAGCATCCTGTAAAATTATGGCACCTGGTGTGAAGTCATTTTCAAGAAAATTGTATTGTTGTAAACATTTCCAACGGTGGTCGGCCGACCACCGTTGGAAAAACCTAACTATTTTTCAATTACTACTCCAAATTTACCCCTTTTCAGTCCAAATTTTGTTTGCTATTGGTTACATGTTTTTGAACGGGTGCAGGCCACTGATTGGTGTTTTTATGCAACGACCGCAATGCCTCATCCCCCAGCAAACTAACTTGGACTTAAACATCCAAGCTAACAAGTTTTGCAAAATCTATAATTTTCGAGGACTAATGAAGAAGCTGCCTTTTTTCTATTCAATACATTTAGAACGGCTACTAATTCAAAGTCTTTTCATGTGCTCTGGTCTACACGGTGGGCCAGATTTAGTTTATTTGTTGGCATTATGGCGTAATCCTCTACGACAGCACTGCCCGGCTCTTTTTTTTACCAGCCTAAAACTAGCCAAACAAGTTACAAGTGTCAGTCAGTCGGTTAGTCAGTCAGTCTGTCAGTCAGTCACAGTCAGCAAGATAGGTACAAACTGGGGCATTCCACCGGGTTGGGAAACTGCATTTTACATCAAAATATTTGGTTATATGATTTAAATTTTCAATGCATTCTAAACAATTGCTCAATAATAGAAATAATAATAATACCCTGGATTGGACATTTGGGAGACATCCCCATAGACTTGTGCATTTTTCAAACTTAAATGTGCCCTAACCCAATATTCCCTTGTCCTTTTTTCACAGATTTCGGTATGTTTACTATTTAGACCACCAGCATCAAATATAATCTTATTGCGACGTACAATTTTGCCTCTAAAGGGGGGCTGTGACATTAGGGAGACATGAAAATGTCTCCCTAATGACCGATGTCTCTCATCGTGCGAAGAAATTACGACAACGTGCCTCCTTAATGGTAGGCCTACCATTACATGTATTAATTCTTATATAGCGCATTACATACGAAATCTCAATGCGCTTTACAAAGAAGTTATTACAAAACATATAAAAAGCTCAATATATAGTACTACAATATTCCATTATAAAGGTTTCGTTTGAATGTTATTAGAATACATTTAAAAAGCTCAGAAAACTACTTATCAAAAAAAGTTGATTACAATATATGTTAAGACTCATTAGAAATGCATTAAAAATCACTCAATGTAATATTTGTCTTGGGGTGTTTCAATACTTGAGAAAGTATGAAGCCATTTGAATATACTTTGACAAAAATATGAGCAAAAATGTATTAATTCGGACACCTTGTCAATTTTACATCCAAATATTCTTTTTGTGCCATTTTTTTTACACGTATGTAAAATATTCCCCAAACTGACATTGCATATATATCACTAGACTGGACACCTAATGCACCAAGAAAAGCTTCTGTTTTGGTATAGTCATGGTTCAAGTATAGCAGAAACAATACCTTAATGTGGATGTAACGGTGTCAAAATCACTGAATGGAAGTGTGACATTGTTGGTTGACACAGTGTCAATGTTACGGCCACAACCAAGCTATCATTTCTGCTCAATTTGATACCCAACTACCATAACAAAAGCTTTTCTTATTGTGTTGCATGTATAGTAAGAAGTACATAAAGTTAATTTGGGTAATGTTTTACAGAAATTTAAAAAAAAAGGTACAAATGTCATATTTGGATGTAACATGCACACGGTGTCAATGTTACGTCCGAAATGACATGTTTGCTCATATTTTGGCACAAGATATTGAAATTATTAAAAACTTTCTGCAGTAGTGAAACTGAACTTTTGAAAAACTGAACTTAACCATCAAGGAGAAATTATCACAGCTGGCTAAAGGACTCAAAACTAATATTTAATCACGGGCTGTTATAACAACAATGCCACTGCAGAGTACAAAAGTTTCAATCAAAATAATCAAGTGTCTTTCTCAAAGTTTGTTGACGCCAACAGAAAGATAGAGAGGTCAGTATGCATGAATGATACCAGTACATGTAAATCAAAACAGGCGTGTTTGTTAAACAAAGAACCGAATAACAGCAAGGCGAATCTCCTTTGAAAACCTTTCGAAGATTGACAGTTGTTTTGCATTTTCCTCAAAGGCTCAGAAAATTTCTTTTTTTTTTAGGCTGGAAAACGCCACGAGAGAAAATGTCAAGAGAGCTACACATCATCTCGAGTCACGTAAGACAAATACACCATAAGCCAGTTATTAAAAAAAAGTTGTGCAATTAACGGGTAACATGAATCGGAGTTCTTCAAAACACCTCGTCAATGTCTGATCCTCTAATGCACTACTCACCAATGTGAAGGCATATAATAAAAGTTGACTGACCGTCTCAACAACGCTGATAAGACAACAAGGGGATAACGTTACAAGAGATCAGGAGGAATCGGCAAGTGGGAGTTCGAAGGTAAAAGTAAAAAAATGGAGCCACTAGTTCCACTCCGTCCGCCGCCCGAGCCGTCCCGCGTTATGTCAATAATTCATTATACCCACGTAGTTCATCAGTTATCTTCGGTAGCTAGCAGAATGGCCGTGGTACCACGCACGCACGCAAGCACGCACGATTCCACGCGCGCACTTTGCAGGCGCTTGTCATGGAGGCAGTCAGGTTGCCAGGACAACCAAGGAAATGAAGAGTTGATATATTTCCGTTGTCAGAGCTGATGCGAGGATGCTGGAGCGGATGGTTTCAATGAGGCAGTGAGTTTAATGCTTTCAGTGGGGCCCTCCATGATATAGGTAGAGGCTTTCCCAATCAATTAGCTCGCGCTGGCTCGTGCGCATCGCGCTATCCCCCATCAACGGCTAAAATACCATTGTTGGATCCATTCATGCTCATCTCGTGCGGCGCGGCGCATGTTTCAACTCAATATCCAATTATCATGACGTCATAGCGGGAGAGAACAACGTGCGCCTTAAGTGGGTCTTACCGGCAAACGACGTCACGATGACGTCTGTGAGGGCCGGGTCTGACGTTGCGGATGGGGGAAAAACCGTTTCATGAGTTCCGACCTTTTGTGAACCTGAAGTCTCTGAACGGAGGAGGCTGGACTAGCCTGGGAAATCCAATCCCCACTGTTGAGCTATTTGAGGGGACGATTCTCCCAGGCTCGATAAAACACACGAGCGAGGACAAGCCAAATGTGGATCAGTCGATTGTTGTTATGGTTTTTGTTCCGTTTTTATACCTTAACTGTGTCCCAGGAGGATCGTCGGGCCCACGGTTATCCAGAGACAGAAGGTGGCAAAGAATAAAAACGCACTAACAAATATATTTAGCATTTGTCATTTCTGAATAGAGTTCAGTGTCAAAAAATGGAAATCAACGACCATCAAAACCCACCCGTAATGTACACGGACACTTAAAGTGCGCACGAACTTTCTATTAACTTCCCAAACACCTGCTTAAGATGGAAGTATTATAAGTAAATGACTTCAGGATTTTTGAATCGTCATCAAGTCTACTTTAAACGTATCACGACACTGTCATCGTTAATGGGCGTTTTGGGTCGTGTACTTAATGATAGACAAAAAACAGATTTTCTTTAAGAGCGTAGTTTACGTTAATAGAGGTTTAACATCGAGTTAAACAAGTTTGCGGTAGCGCCATCGATCTCTTGTGTGATGGTGTGGCTCTAAGACGAACCTTTCTTTTGACTTTACAAAAAATCCAGGGCCGCATCCGGTGCAAAGGTGATGAGGGGGCTGCCGCTATCAACCCTGGATGATCGCCACCACGCTGCTGTGACGCTGTATGCGACAACGAGGCCAGTATGCGCTCTTAAAGACGGAAGCGCCTTGTTGGAACCAAATTGAACCAAAACCTCCGTCGCGTCTATACCGTGTAGGCAGCCGAGCTATAGACTAATTCGGCGATAGCCATTTCCTGATGATGTGGCACCAGGCTCGCGCGAGTCGCGCTCAGGTAGTATACACAAACTCCGGGCTCCTCCGACCAAAAAGGTTACCAAAAATGCGCACGCGTATCGTCTTACGCGTGCGGCATGCGATACAGTGGGTAGTACGGAAGTGCGGAAGTCTTACGTCAGTGGTCTTTAATTGTTCTGGTTCACGCGCTGATACGCGCGCTGGTCTTCACATACTATGCGCGTGAAACAGAATACGCGGCACACTTCGGTACTCTATGGAGTACCGAAGTGAGTACGTGTGTAAAAGACATTAGCGCGTGCTACCCCTGTTAAATAGTTTGGTGGTTGGCCTTTACAAGTTCCCCTTTCCTGATTTTGGGTCTTCCCCCTTTTTTCTCTCTCAACAAAAGTGTTTTTCGTCGCCACCTCAAGGGACAAAATCCAAGGCCTGGATTCATGCACAAACTCCTAATCGGCTTACAACTAACTCTGTATAATGCGCCAACAACTCGTTCACTTTTCGTTTAAGTTGCCACTCCTCGAAAATGCAGTCGTATAATAAATACCTCATATCCTAAAAGCCACTGCAGACAATATACGTTTAAAAAAATGCACCATAAAAATTCTCATAAACGTTCAAAATATGAAAACCAAAAACCGTTTCTTCACTTCTATAGTTCCAAAGATATTGGCTATTTGCAATGTACACTTATAGTCATTTTCAATAAAACTTCAGGTCAGCATATCCACGTTGTTGTTGCACTGCTGCTCGTAGCGAATGGCGAGCTAGCGACAGAATAACACAACGCTCAAGGGAATTCGGACATCGCAGGTCCCTGGTTTCTGAGAAAACGGCTAGTTTTAGTTCCAGTCTGGCAAATTATTGTGAAGGAAATCCATCGCTGTGTCAACGATAGTGTCAATCAAGGGTAGGCCTATGCAACAAAGCATTCTCGGTCAAACTACTGACGGTTAGCAAGGGGAAAAAGACTATGGCATGAGTAATATCTTAAAGGGAAAATACAACATTTGCAAACATCAAAAAACGAAATTATCAAACTATCACGAAATACCTTACTGAATTGTTAGGAACTGATAGTCTAAAGCATCCTTTAAAATCGTGACTCCTGGTTGGCTGACATTTTCAAGAAAAACTATATTTTTCCAACGCTGGTCGGCCGACCAGCGTTGGAGAAAACTGGCTTTTTTCAAAAACTGTTCTTAATTTTTCATATTTAGTTATTCTGACTTTCCTTTGCAATTGATCACACACCTGTGAAGGGGTACAAGCCTGCTAGACTAATTCTCTGACCTTACAATTCCCCAAAGTGTATTAATTGCTTCGTTTCATCTTAAGTGGGGTCAGGGAACCAGACTACAAGAACATGATAGGTTTTCTTGGTTTTTCCAGCATCTACAAGCCCAAAACGTGAAACAAGTCAGTTTAACAATATTTTATATACCATACTAATCCTCCAAATCCATTTATTTCTGAAAATTGCAGCAAAAGCAAATGTTGTACATTCCCTTTAACAATGTTGAGCATGGAAACAGAAAACAGAGTTATTAAGTTGAGCTGGTGGCAGCAAAATTGCAAAAGACTCCTGATTTTATGCAATCAAAAAGTAGCTGACCAAAATGTTGACAAACTTATCTCTTCTATGTTTAACAAAACCCAGAAGTAGTTGCACTTCGTTATGAAGAGTGAAATAATTTGGTAAACACTTACGTGCAAAGCTTGATACTGTAAGTGCGTCCTACGCTACCGTCCCGTTAGGTGTCAAAACGCTCGCCTATAGAAGTAACAGCGCCTACCTCACCACTCAACTATAGTAGCAGTAACCTGCAAGACATCCTTGCATCCTGTGCGATCGGCAGCTGAGTGACAGGAGGGTTCTTTCCTTCCTTTCTTTTCCCGGGTATGCATGATGATACGTCAGGCTCAGGCGGACAGTTATCAATGATGTTTTGAGTCTGTTCACGTTATGCGGTGCGCGCGTGGTGGTGGTTAAGTTAAGGTCGAGCGAGTACGGTGCGCATGCACGGGGGATCGGGAGCGCGTCATGTGACCGCGCTGTGTGATGTGGGATCTGCGTGGGTGGTGGTGGCTTTCTGACCAATTGTAGTTGTTGATACATATCGTGTCAGTTGTCACCGTTCTCGCCCTGCAGTTATCCCAGCTCCGTGGTGAGTTGAGGCAGCAACCAAGACGCAGATGAGAGACGTTCACATTTTTTGTTTGTGGCGTGGAAAAATAGAAAGTTTGGTGAGCTAGGTAGTAGTGAAGGGTGAAAGATGGGATATGTAAATAATAGTGGTGATACAAAGATGGTTGTGGTGATGGTGGTGATAAAGAGTTGGATGCATGATGTTGGTGGTGATAACGGGTAACAAGTAGGCCTATCAGTGGAAGCAAAGGTCACGAGGGTGGTAAAAACTTGACAACGTTGGCTGCGATTCGAGTTGCATACGGCTGAGGATATGAAGGTGGCCGTGGCTCACTGGTGGACACGTGCTGATGATGGGGTTACGATGGTGATGACAGTAGTGATGATGGTGGTGAGTGACTGCGGTACGGTAGGGATGGAGGTTGTGGTGGTGGGAATGAATATGAAAGACGAACGTCATCCAATTTACCACGTTTGAATTAAATAAACCCCTCATAACATCGCCCACAATCCAGATTTGCAGTCGACCTACTTGTGTTGTATCGTAAGTAAAGTCGTCACAAGTCATCCAATCCCAAGTCAACTCACAACCAGGCATGCAACTTGGAAGTCACAAAAAAAGAGGAAATTCAAATCTTTCCAAGACTTTGTACAGTGTTTTTCTATTTCAATGGCACACATTGGAAGTGAAAAAAGAGGAAATCAGCTGATCCGAGGAAAAGTTGCATGCCTGCACAACCCTAAGGTGTCCCATTGTTACTGCTCAAACCTTGTTACAAATTATCAATTGACTAGTGAATCGACATGTGAGCTTCAATAAAGATTACTTGATTTGACTGGACTTGATTTTAACACTGAAACAATCCACATAAGAATAAAAGATGAGCTCCGTATGTCACCTCCTTATTGTCTCGCCTGGACTTTGTTCAGGAAATTATCTCCATGTATGTCTATGTATGTCGTATTTTGGTTTAAGTTTCGTAAAATTGGTCTCATTTGAAAAGTTGAAGTCCAATTGGAACCAAACGGGGGTCATAGATGCAACGTGGCAACCTTCATATGATAATGATGTCAAAGGTCACATACCAAGGTCAAAGGTTATCTGGGGTCAATTTGTAAAATAGGCTGAACATGTAAAATTGGTTTCATTTCGAAGGCTGAAGTCCAATTGGAACCAAGCTTGGGTCATGGATGTAACATGGGAACCTTCACGTGATAATGATGTCAAAGGTCACATACCAACGTCAAATTTCATAATAATTTGGTAGTTTTTATTTTTATTTTTTTTTGCAAATGTTGCATATTACCTTTTAAAGTTAAATATCTCCACCTAACAAACCAAGCCACGCCAAAGCCACTTTGTACAAACACAAATCACTCCCGATCTCTTGAAATCCGGCACCGCCCCGAAACACAACGGACGAAATACATTAACAATTAAAAAATGTTCCGACATTTGTGCTGTGTTATCCATCACGAAAGTTACTCCTCAAATTATTATTTTTTGTTGTTAAACATAAACCCGGATACGTTCTCGCTTGCCAGCTGACATGAAAAATACCCGACGGACGAAGGGCATGAATTAGTCAGTCGGCCGCCGGAAAAGGACAAAACCGTTAAACTATGACTGATTTCCACGAAAATTCTCGACTTAAACAAAGAGCTGATTTTTTTTTGGCCGTTAGGTAGGCGTTGCCAGATTCAGACAAAAGATTCATCAATTATTTGGATTGCAACAAAAGGACAAGGCGAAACAAGTACTGGTCGTTACGTGGGATGAAAATGATGGGCTTCTTTATTTAATGATCCTCGTGGGATTTCTACCAGGAAAAAAAAGAGTAAAACTGAAAATGGAAGCCACTCGTCATGCATCATATATGCTGATTGAAAGCACAAATGCAAAGGACTGGCGAGGTTTGGCGTGGACCCATTATTTTTGTCGCGAATAACTGAAAAACCAGGAATCAGGATTTTCATCCTAGTATCGAGACTCTAGTTTTATTTACTTATTTATTTATTTCTTATTATCCTGGGTGATCCATTCAGTGAGAAAAACTCACTGATCTCCCATCACACAAAACTACTATTAAAATACAATTAGTTCTCTGTGCAATGAAGATTTATGTTGTGCAGCTTGCGCAGTGGCGTAAATAAATGGGGTCCAATTTTCCGGAGAGCACACTCAATACGTTTAAGGTTGCAGACCAGTAAATGAACTGCCATAGACTCCAGTGCTAATTACGCCCACTTCCAAAAAAATAGGGAAAATAATCACAACTCCCCAAGGTGCTTGAGACACACATCCAATAATATTTAAGTTTATTTCACCATCTTTCATTTTCTGTTCGAAGTGTTTTGAGGGGGTTGGGGGGGGGGGGGGTTAAGCAATGACTTTTGGGAGAAAATCCATCCAAAGATGATCACTCCTTAAAGTACCGGTAGTCCTGCGAAGCTCATCGCCATTTAAAAAAAAGAAGAATGCATTACTCCATTGCAAAATCGAGAAATTTTTGGGCCCAATTTCATCCGAATTTACAGAAATATGGGAGCTTGCAGTCCTATTCACGGCTTCCACCCTTTATTTATTTATTTTTTCAAACCCTCAAGTTCATGGCCAACAAAATGCTCTAATAGCAAAAAATGAGGGCATGCAATTCTTAATTCGGTTGGCATAGACAATTTTGGGCCTATTTACTGGCCTGCAGCCTTAAACAATCAAAAAGCTCACTTTTTGTCCTTCCCTAATTTCTGTCGAAGGGGGTGGTTGGGCACAGGGGAGTCGTGGCAATTTATTATCAAAATGCTTCAATGTTACTAGTTGCCCCAACAGTAACAATGCTCTGACGTCATTGTTCTTTTCTCATGCATAAACATAATTTTCCCATCAAAACTACTCAATTATTCATGATAGTGCTTCAATCGCCCACGGAAACACATTCGCGTCCGGCATGAATTATGTGTTCAGAGCGTAGAGCGAAATTGAGCCACTAAAAAAGATTCACATCTAGTCCAGCATTATATTTACCAAAAAAACCCCAAAGATTCGTGCGACCCACAGTTTCCATGGCAACGACGCGCGTAAACAAACATGTTTACCACCAGAAAACACTCCTAGGTACATAAAGAGTAACGCACTGGAACGAAACGAGAGTACCTTCTCATATATTTGTCACCTTTTTATTGTGATTTCCTCACGTGTTTCCAGTCGGTGTGTTTATAGCTCCATGGTCGCACTGACACTCATCATGTGACTCTGACGTCACCTATAATAATTATTTATGACTCGGGTGGTCTCGTGATTCCGACAGAAGGATGTCAATGTTGCTGGCATCTAAACAATGATTTCAGCGAATTGTCACGTCACAGTGCACATGCCGACCAGACATGCTGGTATCCGATACACATTTAGTACTATTGTAAATCCCATTTCAATGGCACGCAGCTATAGCTAGCTCCAGCCCTAACCTGGAGCTAGCTATAGCTGTCGAAAAAAAATCTCACTATTTGCGGGGTTTTTTTGGTCGGTCCCGTCCAAGGGTCTCTCAAAAGTGGTGAAAAACCGGTCTCTGTTGTTCACACACGGAGCCCATAGACTATCCGGTTCGCTCAATTCAACCATGCGTACTTCACACGGTACATACAGCACTGCACGAATGGAACCGGAAGTTAACGCAGCTCGAGCGTCTATCCAATGGGCGCAAGTAATCAGTGGTGCGCGCGTGTGTATGACGTTTTCACTAACGAACCGGATTTCGGCGAAAGCCATTTTCTGAGGTGACAACCAGGCTCGCGCGAGTCGCGCTCAGGTAGATAGTACGCACGCACTCCGGGCTCCTTTGACCAATAGGGTCAACGAAATGTGCGCACGTTTCCTTTTTAAGAACGCGTGCGACATGCGCGCGAACGTGGTACCCCCTCAAAAATAGCTTCAAATTTTGTTCGTCGGATTAGTCTGTAGGCTAAAGCCCGGTTCATACTTCACGCGAAAGCTTGTGCGAAGCGAAATTCATGTCGTCAACAATGGTAGACGCGCTTCGAATGTATTGTTGACATCACGAATTTCGCTTCGCTTTCGCTTTCGCGTGAAGTATGAACCGGGCTTTAGAAGATATTTTTCTGGGCTAAGAAAAACTCTTGGCGTGGCAGATCCATGAAATTGCCCCGAATTAGGCAATCTATCCCTGTCGACAAGTCACTTATGTGAAATATAAATACTTTCATCTACAAATCATAATATGATAACGAATCGAATCCCCTCACAAACAAGACAAGAAAAGCCTAGTCGAGCTAGTGCGTGCTGGTCCCAGAGCACACACAATTATATTAATAGATTCACAATGGCTAATCCTGTACAATGTCACTGGCTGGTAGCCTGTGCGACAGCACTGCCAGGCTAACAATTAACATTCAGTAAGTCAGCCAGTGAGACAGGTACAAAGAGGACCCTGGAATGGCCCTCTGGGACCAGCAACATTGTCAGGGATCCGATTAACAAGAAAACTTAAGTCAAAGTTTTTTTTATTATAATACAATATTGTTACAATTACCAGTAATCACCAGTCACTAGTGACAGTAGTCACTATAGCATGGTACGGATCCTCATGGCCCCAGGTGTGCATTTTCACAGGAATGTATCTTATCTGATTCTTGACTTTACATCATAGTCCCCAAAAAATAAAGACAAAATCGGGATGTTTGCTTTCCTTTTACCAAATTCAATCTGTCCTCTTGCAGCAGCAGCACTTTGGATAGTCAGAGTGGTTCACTTTATCAACTGAATAAAGAGGGTCATTACGTTATCGAGAGATAG